TAGCAGGACATGCTGATGTTCTACTAGTTACCCTTCTGCCCAAATATGTAGAAAAGTTTATGAGTCATTGTGATTAATATTTTATTTAGTTGTCATGTTCATTTCTGTTGATTTATAGGCTTCAGAAATCTTTAATCACAGGAATTAGAATTATTTATAGTGCCATTTGAGGAACTTCTAAAACATCTTACCAAATAATTCAGTAACTTTTTCAGTATGTTAATTTGGAACATCTTTAGTATCTGTTTATTAGGACTTCTTTGTAGGAGAAAAGGAATTTCAAGGTGGAAAACCATTTATGCTGATAGTTATTGTAATAATGCTTTTGTAGTGAGTTTAAAGAAAAGCTGTAGCAAGAAATCTCAGAACCACTTTACACAGTAAAAGGTTTCTTGAAGATCCCAAAGAGTTTTTGTTTATGTGGGTTTTGTCTATTACATATTACATACCATATTAGAAATTAAAACAGAAAGTTGGAAAACATTTAATAATTTTAAAACATATTGATTTCTACATACTTAATTTCCTTGTCTCTGAGAAGACCAGAATTTATTACCTTGGTTTATTTAGGCATTTGGGTCATTAGTATTTTGTAGTTCTTGCTTAATAACCAGTGCTAATTTTGAATATTGATAGACATTGTTGATACTTTTTGAAAATCAAGCTCTTTTAGCCTGAAACTTCAAAATATTATCACAGTATTCCCTAAGTATATTAATATCTGAAGATTTTATTGTGAAACATTAGAGATAAAAATAACTGACTTTTCTCTCAAGACTAACACAGGTTTCAAAAAAAGAGCAATATAACTAACTCTCTGTGATAATAGATAATCATTCAACCTTGGTTGAGTACTTGAATATACTAGCTTTATTGAATTATATATGTGCCAAATAAAGAAGAGACTTTGTTATGCAAAACTGGGGAAAAACAAGAAGTCATAAGGTTTTATAATTGTTATTTCTTACAACTATTCAAATTATATTATTTTCACAGAAGTTTATTTCAAAGCTACTAGATTCTATTTCAGAGCTAACTTATATTATTAGCCTATATCTACTACTGTGTAAACTAAGAATAAAAATAACTACAAACGTTTATGGGGAGCTTACTCTGTTCCAGGTACTGTTCCAACTACTTTATGTATTTTAGCGCATTTAATCCAGCAACCCTATGAAGTAGTTACCATTATCTTCTTTTTATAGTTGAGGAAACTGAGGCACAGAGAGGTTATGTAATTTGCCCAAGGTTTCTCGGCCGTGGAGTTAGAATTCAAAGTCAGGCAATCTGATTTCAGAGACTATCCTTTTTAACCATTATGCTGTATTGGCTTAACTAAGTAAACTTGCCAAACTAATATCCATTATTATAAAACAGATAAAATAGTGACTGTTTCTTTAATTTAGACAGTTCTTTAAACTGAATATTCACTTTTTCCCTAGAAATTAAAACATTTAGAAAGAACTTTATAACATATGCTGATGGGAAAAATTCCAACAGTATATAAAATGCCTAAAATATTTTTACTTGTATTTCATTTTTAAAATTGACTTTATCTTTTAGAATTGTTATAGATTTGCAGAAAAATTGAGATAAGACAGAGTTCCCATAGAGTCTTGTACCATTTCCCTTATTTATTAATATCTTACATCTGTTTGAGTTAGTGAACCAGTATTTGATAATAAGCAATAATAATGATGCATTGTTATTAACTGAAGTCCATAGTTTATTCAGCTTTCCATAGATTTTTTCCTAATATTCATTTTTCTCTTCCAGGATCCTATCATATTACATTTAGTTGTTATATCTCCTTAGGTCCCCCTTGGCTGTATGTTTCTCAAACTTTCCTCATTTTTGATGACTTTGACAGTTTTAAGGAATACTGGTCAGATATTCTGTAGGATGGCCTTGATTAGAATTGGATGATTTTCTCATGATTAGACTGAGTTTATAGGATATTGGGAAGAAGGTCGTGGATGTAAAGTGTCACTTTTATCACATCATATTAAGGATAGTTAATAATCTATAATTATTACTGTTGATGTTGACCTGGTCACTGGTCTTAAGTAGTGTTTGTCGAGTTGCTCCACTGTAAAGTTACTCTTTTGACATTCCCTTCCATACTATACTCTTTGGAAGAAATCTCTACATAGCTCATACTTAAGTGAATTATGCTTCCCCTCTTTGAGGGCAAAGTACCTGCACAAATAATTTAGAATTATTTTAGAGGTTTCTTTTCCCCTTATTTATTAATTTATTCAATCATTTATATCAGTATGGACTCATGGATATTTGGGTTTTTTTTGTTTTGTTTTTTGTTTTTGAGACAGAGTCTCACTCTCTTGCCTGGGCTAGAGTGCCATGACGTCAGCCTAGCTCACAGCAACCTCAAACTCCTGGGCTCAAGCAATCCTTCTGCCTCAGCCTCCCGAGTAGCTGTGACTATAGGCATGCACCACCATGCCCGGCTAATTTTTTCTATATATATTTTTAGCTGGCCAATTAATTTCTTTCTATTTTTAGTAGAGACGGGGTCTCCATCTTGCTCAGGCTGGTTTTGAACTCCTGACCTTGAGTGATCTGCCCGCCTTGGCCTCCCAGAGTGCTAGGATTACAGATGTGAGTCATCACGCCTGGCCTGGATATTTTATACTTTAGGTTATAATCCAATACTAGTTTCTTAATTTGTTGTTCAACTCATTCCAGCATTGGCCAGTGGGAACTTTTCTAGTTGGTTCCTGTGCACATTTGATATACCCTCTTCACTCTGGGTTTGTTTTTGTTTTTCTGTCCCAGTCCTAGAATCAGCCATTTCTCCAAGGAGCCCTGGTTACTTTTATTGGAGAATGGTGTTAGAAACAAGGATCTGGGTGCTAAAGGTACACTCATTGCTACTGAGGTGTCATTTCTTTTAGGCCCCTCAGCTGACAGAGAAAAGAAATGTATGTATATATACTAACCCACCTATGCATATACACATTTATAAATTTTCTATATGTAGTCATCTGTATATTAAGCTAAACATGAGTTCTTACTGAAGTATCCAACTTTAATCCATCACTTTAATGTGGATCATTATTGCCTCCTCCCTCTGCTTTTTTTAATGTCTCTACTCCAACAATGAGTTACCTGGCTCCCACCATTCCCTGTCCATTTACTCAACTGTTCAATTTCAGTAGGGGCAAATAGCAGTATCAGAATTGTTAGCCCAAACCTCCACTGATTTCAACTAGAGTGGCATACTTTTTTTCTTTGCATATTTTCTTTGCATTTTGTCTTACAGATTCCACTCATTTCCAGAGTTACTTAGGCTAGTATCTATTCTCCTGTATTTCTTTTCCTGTCAGGACAATTTGCTGGATGAATGAATCTGATTTTCTCCTGGAAGGCACTATGTTACCTATGTTTTCAGCACCACCTGGACCACTTTTCTCTGTTTCTCCCTGGAATGCTTTTTGTCCTGATATACCCAGCTCTAACCTTGCCCTCTCACCTTGCCCACTCCACTCACCCTACAGTTTTCTCTCAGTAATGCTGTTAACGGAATATTTGATGGTTGATAGTAGAATTTTTTTAATCCTATACATAGTTTTTCTCTCTGGTGATTGTCTTTTAACATTTCTGAAAAAGTGATAATTTATGTGATTATAAAGTGATACTATATAGTATTTTTTTAAATGTTTTTTGTTTTTTAAACTATTTCAGTAGGAAGACAGTATAACATTGAAAGCATGGATTCCAGAATTAAACTCCCTGGGTTCAAATTCTAGCTCCAAAGTTTAATAATATGGTAAAGTTAGGTGTGCCTCAGTTTTCTAATCTGTACAATGGAGATTTTTAGATTATCTAATAAGATTGATGTGAACATTATAGGAGGTGATATCCTTTGTTTTTAACTGTGCCTAGCACATAATAAGCACTTAATGATTATTAACTATTATTAAACACTGTGTAAGATTACAGAAAGGAAAAATTATATAAAAGAACTGTAAGGTGGTTATCTTTTCAGACTTTTGAGGATTACTTAAGGGGTTTTAAAGGTAGGGTGATTATACTTTCTGGTTTGCCTGAGATGAAGATCCTGGAATATGCTTGTTGTGCCATCATGATTATGAGTAGCATCCCTCTTCTCATGAAAGTATTTTGGTTTGGATGAGAAATTATATGGTCACCTTATTTACAGGGATTGTAAAACTCTGCATCCTTTGAACCAGGGATGGTATAATAAGTAGGGTAGGCTGGGGGTAGAAGAGTGGGACTGAGAAGGAACATGCTTTTAAGAGAGCAGCAAAAGAGGAAGGCAGGCCTGGTATAACAGATCTTGAGTTTTCAAGAGTAGACAGAAATCTGGAATTTTTTGTAATGATCTCCTAATTTTTCATCATTGGCAACTAATTCAGTTTTTCTAGGAAGTATAAAAATTCATTAAAGATCTGTGCATTTTATCATATGTAAATTATATCATAATTTTATATGCACGTAAAATGATAGTCTTTATATATATGCCTGTGAGTTACTGGTTTTCAATAACTGATAATTACTAAATGCAAAGAATTAATTTTAATGTGGAAACTTAATGTATAAGTGTTTTTTTTAATATTGGTTAATATGTCAGACTTTGTAGAGCTTTTAACTCTGTTACCATATATATTAGAAAGTGTATGATAGTAAAAACTGTAAGAAAAACTTACCTTATAAAGTTGCCTCAAGAGAAATCTAGAGAGCATATTTATAATGAGAAAACTGAAAAAGATAGTGCTAAATTGACCATAACTGTGAGAGCCTTTGAAATCCTTAATGAATTAAAATGACTATGGATTTTTCTGAAGGCTATAAAAATTGTATGTAATTGCAATTATGAAAATAGAAGTGAATTATATAGTAGGCAGAAATTGCGGAACCAGTGCTTCTACTTGAAATGTGCTTCAGATGATCTTTTATAGTTTAGATTCTTGGAACTTTGTTTTGGAAACAAATTAAAAACTTTTTTTCTTTTTAAGACTGTTTTAAAGAAGTCATTCATATACGTCTGGATGAACTTCTCCGTGTTTTAAAGTTTATTATGAATAAACATCAGAACCTCAATTCTGTTGATCTTCAAAATGCCGCAGAAATGCTTACTGCAAAAGTGAAAGGTAAGAAAGATATATGAAAAGTGACTTGCTGTGAACAAAAAGTATCCAGGTGATACATTTTGGTTCATAATGACTATATGGCCATCTCTGCTCATGGCATTTGTATGATGTGTATAAATAAGAAGTTATGTATATGTCCAAACAGCTGATGTTTAAAATTTGAATTTTATGAATGAGTGCTTGCTCATTTGAGATGGTTTATTAGAGTTCAAAAAGTCTTTATTATGTGAGGACAATTGATGTTGGAAAATGGTCCATTTGTAGTGGCTGCACTTAAAAGAGGGATCCAAATGGAGAAAAAGAAGGCTTAATTGGGACCTTATTTTAAAATGTGAAAATGAAATTAAAGTTGTAAAATATTAAAAAGTTTATTGGGTATGTATAGGAAATATGTGCTAAAACTTAGAATCAAGCATGGGACATTATCCTCTGATGAAATGATTTGCTGCTCAAAATTGTTAAAATTATTCTGGTCTGTAATGTATAAGAAAGACTGAGAGTGAAGGGAGTGTTTGAGAAGAAATGAGCCTGGAGGCAGGGAAATCAATTAGGAGATTGTAGGAATAATGGGCTAGATGAGGGTTGAAGGGTTGATGTAAGGCAGAAGTTGGGGTTTGGTAGTGATAGAATGTAATTATGTCTAGTTGACAAATCATAAGACAAGTTGAGTGTTAAGAGGTTAAGTAGAAATTTGGAGTTGAAGATGTGGACTTGCGAGTTGTTGATATATAGGTGGTAGAAAAGAGTGATATCAACTCAGCCTGTGCATAATAAATGGAGGACTGATAAGAGATCCCAGGGACAAAGAGTAGAGTAACTGGAGAAACACCTAACCAGGTAGGGGAGATGATCTGGAAAGAGGTATCATGGAATTTAAAAAGTATAAGGTTTTAAGAAGTGATCATCAGTGTTAAATGCCACTGATCAGGTAAAATTAATTCAAGTAATGCAACTATAAAAAGTGACCGTTAGGTAGCAGTAATGTAGTAGAGTTAGAGACAGACAAGGTTAATATAATCCTGTAGTCATTTATCTGAGAGAGCTTTGCACAAGTACAGTGAGGAGCCTAGGTTAGGGGAGGAAAAGAAAGACTTCATTGGGGATAAGGGTTACCTACCTGTCCTGGATCTCAAAGGTCAAGAAGGCATTAACTGGGCTGTGATGGAAGGGTGAAGGGCTCTGATATAGGCCTCTTGTACAAGAACTCTGGACGTAAAGAACATGATGAGATTGGTGAGCATGCTCATATTTGGAGAGGGCAAAGGACAAGTGTCAAGGGATGAGGCAGGAAGAGTAAATAAAAACCTTGTCTATAAAATATAGTCCATATACTTAAGAAACCCTTTCTGTATACACACACCCCACCATTTTTTTGATGTAGGTTTATTGTGTTTGTGTGGTTGTATTTTTTCTGTATTTCAAGCACTGGAAAAAAATGTAGAAGATTTTAAATGAGAAACATAGTAACTTTTAAAAATGTGCTTAGTAACCAAGTTTGTTTTTAAATAGATTGTTTACAAGTGCCATTTAACTTTACTTAGATAGGGAAATTTGTGTCTATAGATAGTAAAATTTCCATGCTTGGAAATAGCGACCTAGTTCAATTGTTGCCAGTAGCTATTGTGTGCAGTCAGGATGTCCTGGGGAAGGAGTGTGCCTGTGTATAGCTGGTGTCCACATTCCAGAAACAGACTTGAAGAGAGTGGTCTCTCAGCTACCTTGAAAATCTTTTTATCTTTGAGGTAAAGCAATCTTTTGAATATTTATTTCCCACTATGACTGTCTTTACACTTGGGATTATTGTTACTATTTTACGTTTGTGTATAATGTGTAAAAGGAGAAGATTATTTTGTTGTTGGGAAACTTATTTTTATTAGGACTCCAAGAGACTAGAAAACTTTATTATGTTTTCTTGGGGTAAATTTATATGTTTTTAAATAAAACCTCCTTCCCTGCCCCAACTCTTACTGTTGAGGCCACCTAAAAATATCATCAATACCTCAAGTAAAAAATATTTGGTGACTGAAAAATTAAGGTCAAATTTGAGCTTAATTTAATTCTTTCACTTAATGGTCATTTAGTTTTCAAAACCTCAAAAGGCAAAAGGTAGGTAGAAACCATTTTTGGATGTCTATTCTATACCAGTCTAAGTGCTTTGCATACTTTACTTTTTGCCCCCCAAAACCCAAAACGTATAAATATACATTATTGTCTCTATTTTAGAGAGGAAAACTTAAGAAAACTGTTGTATGATAGGCTCAGAAAGCTGTCAGGAATATGGAGATCGTTAATATCATTTATTCCGAACTCCTGATTACATTTAAAAAACAACAGTGACCTGAGCATTTGACTTGCTTTGGAGGTCTTAACTGTCAAATGCAGTTTTCATGTTTACTAAACTATTCAATAAAGCACATACAGAATAACTTTAGAATCAGGGGTGTATATTCTTATTTGTATTACCACAGGTTTGCATGTATGAAGTCTTCCTATGAGAAATTTGAATCTTTTAGCTCCTTTTATTTATTTTTTTATTTTAGCAAATTATGGGCGTACAAGTGTTAAGGTTACATATATTGCCCATTCCCCCCTACCCCCTTTATTTTTTATTTTAAATGTGGAATTTACCTTTTAATAACTTTAAAAGAAAAATCCTTAGCTTTTCCGCATTCATTCCAGTAGTGATTTGTCTCTTTCCTGTGTCTCCTCCTGTTTCTAAGCAGGAAGTTCACTCTGACAAAATATTTGCCATATGGTAAGAGAGATACAGCCTATTTTTGAAGCAGATAAAGACATCTTCAGAACTCAGTAATTTATTATGTATTATAATTTATTAGTATTTTTGTTTTCATTATTTTCAGTTATGCAGATCTTATTTGTATTATAAATGAAAATGCTTTTAGGTTTTTCATGATCTATATTTTGCCCTATATTTAAAAATTGATACATAAACAAGGAAAATAAGCCTTAATTATACCTCCAGAATTGTAGAAACCTCATGTTTCTGTTTTACAAACTTTATTTTTTCAAAATGAAGTTCGTTCACATTCAAAATGCAAATGATATAAAAGGGTATTCAACAGTGAAGTTTCTTTCCCACCCATTCCTTTCCCTAGATAAACAACAACTATTACTGGTTTCTTATGTACCTTTCCTGAAATACATTTCACATATATAACCTCCTTTTACACAAATGGTTGTGTTCTTCTTGTTCATTGTTCTGAGTTATATGCACATAAAGAATTTCCTTATTCTTTTGTTGCTGTTTTTTCAAAGCTATATGGTAATCGATTATATTGATGAACTATATAATTTATTTAACCAGTTCACTACTAATAGCTATTTGGATTGTTTCCGGTTTTTTTCTATTACAAAAATAGTTCAATAAATAGCCTTGAAATTCTTAGATGGGCAATTGCTGGATTAGCAAACGTGTATTTATATTTTTTTATATTGCCAAATACCCTCTGTAGAGATTTTGCCCTTGTGATAGGAGTGATGAAGTTGGTTTCCTGCACTTTGCCAACAGAGCTGGTTACAAAGCTTTGTTATCCAGTCTAACAGTGAAGAGTGGTATCTCAGTGTATATTTGATTTGGGTTTCCCTTGTTTTGAGTGCAGTTGAGTATGTGTTTGTTTGTATATTCTTCTTTGCGAATTGACCTTTTATCTGCTTTTCTCTTGGGAGTTGGTCATTTTGTAGTATTGATTTGTAGAAACTTTGTATAAGTTAAATTAGCCCTTAATCTTTGATATAAATTGGAAATTTTCTTTGTGTTTTTTTATCTTCTGATTTATTTTATTTTTCCCTTAAAATTTTTTAGTTGTTTTTATGGTTTCTGAGTTTTAGATGTTAGGAAAAACTTCTCTTCTCTGAGATTATAATAGAATTCTTCAGTGTTTTTTCTTCTGATGTAAATGGTATCATTTGTTAAATTTAAGTCTTTGATACATCCTAAAGTATCTAGGTGGCTAGCTAATTTATTAATTCATCTTTTCTCCACTGAGATGTCACTTTATCATAAATACACTGAATTCTCACATATATTTACATCTATTTCCAGACTTTATTCTGTTCCATTGATTTGTTCGGTCATGTGTCAATACCACACTGTTTTTATTGTGGTTTTATAGTATGACTTAGTACTTGGTAGAGGTAGCTCGTCTTTCCTTTTTTTTTTTTTTTGAGACAGAGTCTTGCTATGTTGCCCAGGCTAGAATGTGGTGGGATCAGCCTAGCTCACAGCAACCTCAAACTCCTGGGCTCAAGTGATCCTCCTGCCTCAGCCTCTCAAATACCTGGGACTACAAGGGTGTGCCACCATGCCCAGCTAATTTTTTATATTTTTAGTAGAGACAGCGTCTCACTCTTGCTCAGGCTGGTCTCTGACTCCTTAGCTCAAGTGATATTCCTGCCTCAGTCTCCCAAAGTGCTATGATTGCAGGCATGAGCCATTGTGCCTTGCCTCATTTTTAAAAATTATTCTTTTAACTATTTATCATTCATGCAAACGGTGGCTTTTCTTCCATTATATCTTTCACTTCAGTGGTTTGCAAACCATGGGCCCTGACTCATGACATCAAGTTAGTGGATTGTGACCAGCATTTTTAAAATATGAAAGAATAGAAAAAATAAATAAGGAAAATACAGCACTCGGTGTATGACTTAAGTATGTTTTAGAAACTATAGGTGTTATATAACCGTTTGTTATGTGTGTGTGGTATATTTGGTTGTGATGTTATATGTATTTCTTTCTGAAGGCTGTGGTCAAAAAAGTTTGAAAGTTGCTGCTCTAGTAGGTTGTATATATAAAAGCTATTCATGTGATTTCTTAAAGAGATACTAAACTTGTCTTAGGGTGAAGTATTGTGACTCAGTAGGGAGCCCAGGTGAGACAGTTGTTTCAACCTTAAGCAACATTTTGATGAGATTTTGAAGAACTGCTAATAGAGGTGAGAGAGAGAGTAGAGACAGAGACACTAGTCAGCGAGTTGTTAAATTGTTCAGACTAGAGGTAAAATGTGAACTTTTGACCTAAGTCAGTGGCAATGGGAATGGAATGGAAGAAAAGTATTTTAGAGGTATTTTGAGTGAAGCTAATGAGCAAGGGGTTGTATGGAAAAGAGCGAGAAGGAAGTAGAGAAACATGTTAAACAAGACTATTAGAAATGTAGGTCTGGAGCTCAGGGGTTAAAACTAGACCATTTAGAAAATCATTGCTTTAAAGGTAGGTTCTGTGGGGATAATACATAGAGAAGAAAGCCAAGATGAGAACTATAGGCTCAGTAGGGAAGACTCTGAAGTACAAATTGTCTGCAGATAGCTAAAGAACTAAGGAGGGAAGTTCATATTTACTGAATATCAAGCACTGTAGATGCTTTGTTTTTTTCCTCAGTTATTCCTCTCAATAATATGCCATTTTGCTTATGAAAGAATTGAGGTAGGTAATGTATTCAAAGTAACAGACAAAATGGTAGAGACCAGATTTGAACTCAGGTCTGAAATTCCAAAGCCTTACTTCTTCTTACAGTAACACATAGCTTCTAAAAGAGCAAAATACTTCAAGATCGAAGGAAGTAGTTAATATTTATAGTATTATAGCTGACATTATTGAAGACATACTGCGTGTCAGACACTGTTAAACTCTTTAACATGTATTATCCCATTTAATCCACAACAGCTTTTTGAGGTCAATACTATTGTAATATCAGCTCCCATTTTGCAGATATGGGTATAGAGAGAGATTTGTCCAAGTTTGCATACATATTAAGTGGTAGAGTAGTTGACACTTGCAGAAAAGTCAAGTAGAATGAAGACAGAATAAAAAAGGCCTTCCATTTTGACTGTAAGAGGTTATTGTTGACAGTGTTTTTCAGTGATTACATGAAAATTATAGCTGACGTCTACCGAACATTTTGATTGTAACAGGTTCTGTTCTAAGTTCATTTAATCTGCACAATCTCTAAGTACATAATTATTATTCCTATTTTATAAGTGAGGAAACCGAGGCACAGAGGAGTTAAGTTGTGCAACATAGTTAGTGACAGAGTTAGGATTTAACCTAGGCAGACTGGCTTTGGAACCCATCCTCTTAACCAGGGGTTGGCAAACTAGGGCTTATGGGCCAAATCTGCCTGCTGTGTGATTTTTTAAATAAAGTTTTATTGGAACATGGCTACTCTTATTCATTTGTTATCATCTTTGGCTCCTTTCAACAGAGTTGAGTAGTTGTAACAGACCGTATAGCTTGAAAAGCCTAAAATATTTACTACCTGGCCCTTTACAGAACAAGTTTTCTAACCCCTGATAACCTTTAAATTGGGTGAAAAGCCAAATCTTGTTGATTTCAAGATTAACTTGGGAAAGAAGGTAATACAGGCCATGGCATGACCTACTTATAGAGGTTTGGCAGTGAAGAAATGGTAAATAATTGGATGGTAGCTTTAGGAAGAAATATGGTGAAATAAACATTTTTTTACAAATAAAAGATTGAGTATGTTAGTAGTAGCATAAGAAAAAAATGTCAAATTGAATGGGAGCTAGTGAGGCTATGAGGAGTAAAATTGGTGTAGGGTTTTGGAGACTATTGGAAAGAGTAGGAAGATTTATTATGGGGACTGGAACAAAAAACTTTTATTTGAAACACTGAGAAACAGCAAAAAGGAGATGGACATTAGAACTATAGGGCTGCTTTGAAGCAGAGGCAAACCAGTAATGGCTGTACCTTCCGGTAGGGATAAAGACAAGGAAGGAAGATGGTTGAACTGTCTTTTCACTACTCACAATTATTATTTTTTAAGCTCCCAGTCATGTTTAGTGCCATGAAAAAAAGTGTATTTATAAGAGAGAATAATTATGGAATTTTGGATAGTGTTATGTAAAGTGTTTTTTTTTTTTTTTCCTTTAAAATCTAACAGGTTAAAGCTAGGAAACATGAGTAGAGTTTACATTTTGGATAGTATTATGTTATAAATTATTACTTAAAGTCTACTTTCCAAGGAATTTTTTAAAAGAACTTTATGGAGGTACAATTGATATTCCATAAACTGTATATATTTAAAGAGTACATACAATCTAATAAATTCTGACATGCATACTCCTGTGAAACATCATAGTCAAGATATTGCACACCCCTTTGTAGTTCTTCCCTTTTGCCTGTACCTCCTGGACCCGCTTCACAAAGTCTGTTATGTTTTCATTTTTATTCTGTTCAAAATACTTTCCAATTTCCCTTTTTCTTCTTTGACCCAAGGGTTATTTAGAAGTGTGATATTTAGTTTCCAAATATTTGAGATTTTCCAGATATCCTTCTGTTATTTGTTTCTGATTTAATTTCATACAGCCACCCAACATGCTTTGCCTGGTTTGAATCCTTTTAAATTTGATACTCGTTTTGTGGCCCATAATGTAGTCTATCTTGGTAAATATTCAGTGTGTATTTGAAAAGAACATATGCTTTGCTGTGGTTGGGTAGAACATTCTGTAAACCTCTGTCTTGTCAAGGTGGTTGATAGTATTGTTCAAATCTTCCCTATCCTTACTTAATTTTCTATCTACATGTTCTGTCAGTGATTAGGAAGGATTATTGAAATCTCTGGTTATAACTATGAATTTGCCTATTTCTTGTTGCAGTTCTATCAGTTTTTCCGCATGCATTTGGAAGCTCTGTTTATTAGGTGCGTAAATGTATATAGAATTGTTATGTCATCCTGATGAATCGACTCCTTCATAATTATGAAATGATCTTTTTATCCCTGATAACATCCTTTGCTCAGAAATGTGCTTTGTGTGATATTTGGCAGTAAACAAGAGCAATTGTAGAGATTACCATGGTTGGTTTCTTGTTTGTCAGGGATTACTCTCTTTTGTTGCCTGATAATCCAATGTCTTGAAAAGTGTTGTTTCTTATATTTTATATGGGTTTCTTTTAGTTGTTTCAGACAGAAGTATAACCTGTTTCTCCATCTTGGCCAGAGCAGAAGTCCAAGAATATTTAAAGATTATTTGCAGTGGTTCTTAAGTTTTTATTTTTGTTTGTATCAGGGATATTTAGAAGAATCTGATAAAGATGAGCCTACCGTGCTGCCCCCAGTGCCCCATCTACAAAGGCTTATGTATATATAATTTTGGTTATGATTTCATGGGATTTATAGGCTTGAGGTTTAATTCATTTGTACCTAGGAATTCTTGCTTTCCAACCCTAGTTGCACATTGGAATCACTTGGGAGACCTTTTAAAAAATATCTGTGCTTCACCACAGACCTGTGAAAAATCTGAATCTTTGGTGGTGGGACCCAGACTTTATTTCTAAGATCCCCAAGGTAATTCTGATGTACAGCCAAGATTAAAAATAACTCTGTTTTAAAGCAGAGGATGCTTTCCTCTCCATGTGGTTTCTCTACCTTCCCTTTTTTGGCAAGGATACTAGGGAGGGTGGGATACAGGGAACCTGTTGTTCCTTGTACCCAGCCTGAGTAGTATGGGTTCCTTAAAAAATTACCAATTCTATGTTCCCTTTTCTTCGTATATAATGTTTGGGTTTTTAATAAGAGTACATAGAGAAGAAGTTAATGTAAGAAACTTTTTCCAGTTCTGTTTCATAATTTGCTTTAACAAAATGCAAAATGTTGGAATATCTCTATTGTAAACAAAAGCAGCTAGCTATATGTCAGTTAACATGGACCTCAGAGCTCAAGAGTCTCAGAATAAGAAATAAGGCTATAAATAAGAATTTAAATTTTCTAAAGTACTAGGTTTTTTAAAATGTGGTATGCTTTGTTATAGGTTTTATGCTATGTCAAATGTATATGACTTCAATTGTTGATAATTCATAGTAAAAAATGTACTTCATATTGACTTCAACGAGCCACAGTGTGTTTAGCTTTTTTTAAAAATGCCAGAAAGCAGTAAGAGAAAATAGCACAGAACACTCTTAATAGCAGAGATCTGGTGTTAACATGGACTCTATGACTCCAAGATTGATTGATTTCACGTTGAGTCACTTTTTAGATGTGTCAAATTGTGTAATGCATGGAGTAGTCAGTTTGGAATGCCAGCTATTCATCCTTTTATGCAAGCAGATTCTTTTATATGATGTTCATAATGAAGAACTTGAAGATCATATCCATTTTATATATTAGGCTTTTCAGTTTCTAAATCTTCTAATGTTTCTTGAAGTAATGGTGAATTTTATACAGGATTAAATGATTTTTATATAAATCCAGTTTGAAATATTTTCTCCCTCACTTACTGTAACCAACCTTTCCCTATAGCTGTGAACTTCACAGAAGTTAATGAAGAAAACAAAAACGATCTCTTCCGAGAAGTATTTTCTTCTGTTGAAACTTTGGCGTTTACGTTTGGGAATATGTAAGTAGATTGTCATTTAAATTATATGGGCCTAGGCGGCGTCGTAGGGTATGTTGCATAATCCAGTAAGATACATGACAAAGTGTTAATCAGTATAAAATATTATCATAACTTTGGAAAAGCTACATTCTGTATTGCTTAATAACTATATTTAGAAGTGTCTTTATAGCTACGTATAGAAGCAATATCCATTTGCAAGTGACTGTGTTTGTGTTTTATGTGAATAGATTCCTAGGAGTTTATTTTTAAGGTTCTTAAAAAATTATCTTAGATGATATGTTGAATGTAAAGCCTGTGACAAAGAAGTGTAATGACTTGTCTTTCTGTTTCTTTTTTTTAATTTCACTGGATAGCCTTACAAACTTCCTTATGGGAGATGTAGGCAATGATTCAATATTGCGACTGCCTGTTTCTCGGGAAAGTAAGGTAGGCTAAGTTTCTGTGAAAGCAAAGCCTTTAATATTTTTAAATTAATATTTCAATTATTTCCTAATGTTAATCTCAGCATTACTCTTAATTAGTTTTTGAATTTAGAAATTATCATATTATAAGAAAAACAAGCCAATTCATTTTAAATATGATAATTTATGATCCATTTCTGGAACAATAATTTAGTTATACTTTTTAAGTGGGACTATCATGTTAAAAGAACGTATCTGATAATTTTATAGCATCTTATGTAATGAATCTGTGTCATATGCTCTAAAATTTTAATAAGTAATTCTTAACCATTTTTACCTCCTGACATTGACATCGATCTTAAAAACTTAGAAAAATAATGCAAGAAGTAAAGAGGATGTTAATATTCTCACACATTGTACAGTTTATGTTTATTATCATCAAACACTTGTTAACAGTCCTGTAGGTCTTAGTTCTCCCTAAGAACATTACTTTAAGTATCTCATAGAATTGGGGTTCTGATTTCCAATTGGAAGAAAAATTGCTATGGACTAATAGAACGTGGGAAATATAGGGAGAATATTGTTTTAGTGATTTATAGTAGTGGTAATATTTTCAGTTAGCTGATTTTTTTTTTTTTACTAAATGCAAGATACATAAATAAGCTGCATCAGGGACATGTATTGATCATTTACTGTGTTAGGGATGATCAGACCCAAAAAAGATTTCAACAAATATTTGGAAATGTGCCACACACTTGTATTATATCAAAATAATATAAAAACTTCAGTTCTTTCTTAAAATGATACAAAATATGAATGACTACTTAAGGCATTTGTTATATGTACTACAATATTACAAAAAATTATGACTATTTCTGAAGCCATACATTGATGAAGGATAATGATGGAGTTTTAAGATCTCTAAATATTTTGCTATTACTCATGATTCTTCCTCAGTTTTATTTTTTCAAACTGTTGCTAGTACTTCAGAAGATAATAAAACATTTTATCTTTGTGGCAAAGCTCTGAACAATTTTAATTTTAGATGTGAACCATATTTCTTGTCCTTCTATTGTGCACATATATACTAATTTTTAATAGGAAAATACTGTTTTCTTTTTTTCTTTTGCATCTTGTTTTCCTTTTTTGAAGTTTTTAATTTACCCTAGAGATTGGAATAACAAAAGCTCATGATAATATATTATGCTAATAATAAAATTACTTTGATGAAAGGTTTTGAAAAATACCCTTTGTAAATAATAGCCGCAATTTATTTAATAGTGGTTACTATGTACCATGTACTGTGCTAAGCCTACGTCATCTTAAAACAGCCTTGTGGAAGTAATATTATTATCCTCCTTTTGCAGAAGGGCAAACTAAAGTTAGGTGAGCTTATTGTAGCCCAGTAGTAATAGAGCTGGATTTCAGACCCACGTCCCTTTTATCCATTTTGCATTGAATCCCTGCATACACGGTATTACCTAACTAAATAGATCAAATTTGTTTAGGATCTCACAATTTTGGTAGATGGTATTTTCCAGGACAGTCCAATAAGGTAGCCACTAACCACATATAGTTCTTTAAATTTAACTTCATAATTAAATAAAATAAAAATTCACTTCCTAGTCACACTAGCCACTTTTTAAATGTTCAAGTCACTACATGTAGCTAGTAGCCACTGTACAGGACAATATAGATATGAAGCATTTCCATCATCACAGAGAGAAAGTTCTGTGCTAAGCTTTCAGAGACATGCTTATCATATAGTAAGATGATAAACGACAGCTGAAAGAGGCAGATTTATGTCTTCTGTTTAACTTCTTAACTTATATTTTGGGGATCTGCAGAATTTAAAGTTTTGCGTGGATTTGTTAATGTTAACTAATGCTGTTAGTAAATAATGAGATTACTTATTCTTGGATCTTGAAAACTGCTGTTATAAAAAGCTATGTAATTCTTATAAAGTGTTCTGGCATTTAAACAGACTTCTCAGGCTCTTTGAGTTTTAAATACTTGAAATTCTTTAGCAAGAATTATGTCGTAGTAACAAAGTACAGTGAAAAATTTCTGAAGCAAAGATTTGTTGTCTTCTGCTCTAATCTTAAATTTGTCTTCTTGCATGTTGTAAGTCTTTTGAAAACGTTTCTGTGGAATCAGTGGATTCATCCAATGAAAAAGATAATGCCCCAGGTACTTAAAACTTATGTCAAACTGTTTTGCAGTTACTTTCGATAAATGTTGTGGATTACATAATCTCTTCTTGCTTAGTAACCTAGTGTATTTGTTTTTAATGCAAACTGATACACAAAATTTTACATATTTACATTACTTTTTCCCTTAAGTTTATAAAACTTAAGGGAATAAACCTACTAGAGAAGATAATATAATAATATAGATTGATCAAGGATTGTATAATATAAAGCTTATAATTTGATGAATTGTAGAAATACATATTAAGATAAAAATACATTAGGATTTGAAACTATTTTAAGTTTAAACTTGTCCCTTTAATTCTAAATTTGTCACTAGTATTTTTTTAAACTGGTTTTTTTTTTTTTGAAGAACATCTTAGGATCTGAGTGCTTCTTTGTGTACAGTTATTATGTGACCATATAATGTATATTTACCTTGATGTTTTTGTTTTCAGGAAATTTTTCTCCTATAGAACTAGACAGCATGCTGTTAAAGAATACTAACTCTATAGAATTGGCTTTGTCATATGCAAAAACCTGGTCAAAATATACCAAGAATATAGTTTCGTGGGTTGAAAAAAAGCTTAACTTAGGTGAGTTGCCCTTTGGAGCATCTAAATAACTTTGGAGTGTAATAGCTGAATTGTTTGTAATTAATTGTCTACAGGCTGTGAGTGATATGATTTCAAATTAGTAGCTATTCCATTGTAATGAATAAAATCATTATCCATTTTCTCCTCTTGAAACAGGAAACACTATTATGCTAGATATGCTTATTGAACATTTATGGTGGGCCAACCACTAGACCTAGAGACAAAAAGACAAATAGAATACTGTCTTTGCCTTTAGAGTGCTGTCATACTCTAGTGGGTAAAAAGAAATGCAGTAAGACAATATGGTAAAAGGAGAAAAAAGTAACAGTAGATGTAATAGCAGAAGGCAATGGAAGCATAGAAGAAACATCTTAATAGCTAATATTCCCTGAGTATTTTGCAGTTGTCAGAATATTTTCATATCCATTATATCATTTAATCCTTACAGAGAAACCCTGGAAAGTAGTCAAGAAACAGATTGTCATCTCCATTTTACAGCTGAGACAAATAAGAGCAGTGATTTTTCCTAAGGTCATATAGCAGATTTGCTTAAGGTCATATAGCATAACTGGAAGAATATAGAATACACCCAAAGACTGCTCTTTCTACTGTATTATTTGTTTTTAATTGAGAATGCTAATCAGAATCACCTGACTAGCCCTGTAAAGGGATAATACACAAGCCTAGGTCCCATCCCTCAGAGAGGCGTGAGGTCTAGGCGAGTATATTTTGAAAAAATTTCCCAGTTGATTCTGATGAGCACTTACGATTAAGAATCACTGCATTAAGAGCTGGGCACGGCAACCTGTGCCTGTATTCCAGCTACTCTGGAGGCTGAGAAGGGAGGATCACTTCAACCTAGGAGTTCTAGGCTAGCCTAGGCAACACAGCAAAACCCAATCTCTTTAAAAAAAAAAAAATCACTGCATTATATTACGATGCACACTAGTGTTTGTGGTCACTTTTTTACTGGGGAATTACAAGTAATTTTGGAGTATGAAGAGGAAAAATCAGTTAATTTTACCTTCTTTGACCTTTCAGAATTGGAGTCCTCTAGAAATATTGTAAAGCTGGCAGAGGCAACTAGAACTAACATTGGAATACAGGTAAATGTTCTATGAACTTCTAGGGTTCTATAACAAGAGACAACTCAGATGAGCTCCTAATAGTGCTTTGTAAAACCAGACAGTATCAGTTAATTTCAGGAAAGTACTTAAATTCTAATCTTTTTATTGACAAAATTCCTTTAAATTTAGTTGGATATCCATTATGAAAAAAATAGGAAATTTATAATTTTATATAAATATTGATTATCTTGATAGCTGCTACTTTTATTAATTAACTTTATAATTATAATTCAACATTTTTCTCACATAGTCACGTTTAGGACTAGTTATTTTTCTTGGGAGAAAAAAGTCTAAACTTAAAGTTGCTATTTTTGAAGAAGAGTTGTGGAGATTCTGGAATTCTAGTGCCATTTCTGTTATAAAATTACTTTTCAATTTTAAATTCTAGGAGTTTATGCCACTGCAGTCTCTCTTTGCCAATGCTCTTCTTAATGATATACAGAGCAGTCACCTTTTACAACAAACAATTGCAGCTCTTCAAGCCAACAAATTTGTTCAGGTAAAGATTAAATTGTATGTATAATACAAATGTTTTTATAACAGTATATCTTTAGAAAACAGCTTTTTTTCTTTTTTAAAAATTTCCTTGACAGCCTCTACTTGGGAGGAAAAATGAAATGGAAAAACAAAGGAAAGAAATAAAAGAACTTTGGAAACAAGAACAAAATAAAATGGTTAGTATTATAATGAAATTTTCATATACCTATTTCTGAAAATCTAAAATTATCTGCCATATATAATGATCTACCTTATACTCTGTAGTTTTCTAAGATACTGTCTTAACTATCTTGCCAAATATGCTAAAGATATTTGTATGTTCAGATTTCTTTTGTATTCTGTGTTTAATATTCTTTTCCGTGTAGCTCGAAACAGAGACTGCTCTTAAAAAGGCAAAGCTGTTATGTATGCAACGTCAAGATGAATATGAAAAAGCAAAATCTTCCATGTTTCGTGCAGAAGAGGAGCATCTGTGTTCAAGTGGTGGATTACCAAAAAATCTCAACAAGCAACTAGAAAAAAAGCGAAGGTTGGAAGAGGAGGCTCTCCAAAAAGTAGTGATATTTTTGTTATTTGAAAGTTGAATTAGTAATAATCTGGTAGGGGTTTGGTTCTCACACTTCAGCATCTGCAAGGATCACCTGGAAGGCTTGTCAGAACAGATTGTCAGGCCCATTCTCCTGGAGTTCTGATTGAGTAGGTCAAGGGTGAGACCCAGACAATTTACTTTCTTTTTGAGAAAGGATTGTCAGGCTTGAGTGCAATGACGCAGTCATAGCACACTGGAACCTTGAGATTCTGGGCTCAGTCAGTTCTCCTACCTCAGCCTCTCAAGACACGAGCCACCATGCCTGGCTAGTTTTTAAAAATATTTTGTAGAGATGGGATCTCCCAATGTTGCCCAGTCCGGGTCTTGAATTCCTGGCCTGAGGCATTCCTCCTGCCTTGAAGGTTTATAGTTTTAACGAGTCTCTAGGTGATGCTGATGTGGCTGGTGAACCACTAAGTTAAAAGACTTTTGGATTTTGGAGTTTGTGAAAGAATATCTTAGAGAAGGCAGTAGTAGTTTAATACTTTTACTTGGTAGTTCAGAAAGTTTATCTTTTAGGGAAATGTGTATGTGTGTGTGTATGTGTACTAATTCCACACTTAATAGCAAGGATAGACTGAAGTTTTTTATTATTGATGAAATATAATTTGATAAATTCTGTAAGATTATATTGAAAATGGTAAATATAAGTAGAAAATGCTGGTTTTAAATAGAAATGGACATTTATTTTATAGACAAACAATATACTAATTGTAAATCATACTTGACTATTCTTTAAAGTCAAGTACCCTTGAATCACTGACTAAAATAGATTATTTGTTATCTTTAGAAATATTCTATTGAAAACAATATTTCAGAATATTCATGAATAAAATCTTTTTGATTAAGTTTATCTTTACTGTAATACGTATTTGTTTTAAAACATAAATTGTAGTAATCAGTGTTATATTTTTCTGTGATATTCCTAAAGGTAGAAGAAGCAAATGAACTTTACAAAACTTGTGTGACAAATGTTGAAGAAAGACGAAATGATCTAGAAAATACCAGAAGAGAAATTTTAACACAACTCCGGACACTTGTTTTCCAGTGTGATCTTACCCTTAAAGCTGTAAGTAATTTCTTTAATGTTTTGAAGGCAAGAGGAAAACAAAAAGTCTGTATATCTGTAGAAGAGAAAGGGATACCTGATAAATCATGATTCTTATGGGATTTAAATTCTGAGATAAATGAAACATGTTGAGTTTGAAAATTAACTTTCATTTTTTCATAGTGGTACATCGTTTGAGTTACTTTTGATCTGCCTCCCCCCATGTCCCCTGGATTGATGATTTGTTTGATTAAAACTGAAGTCTGAGAGTTTGAAATTTCCTCTAAGCCAGTCTTTCTTGGCTGGATAGACAAAATTCATTTGACCCCTGAAACTTCTATCAGTGTTCTGAGATCTAGTATTCAAAATTTGAGTAAACTAAATATTAAAATTGAACCCAATGATTTATTTGAAGACAAAACATCCTGCCCTCGAGTGTTTTCACTTACCTCTTTAAAATGTTTTTTGTAAAAAAATTATATATAAAATCCTTTTTTTTAGTGTATAGTCTACACGTTTTAATGCAAATAAATATATGTAAGCACCACCACAATCAGGATTCAGAACACTTCTTTCACTTCAAAATAATTCCTTTATGCTGCCCTTTGTGGTCAAACTCTCTACGTACCCCTAACCCCTGACAAGTACTTTGAGATTCATCAATGTTATGCACATATCAACAATTAATTTTTTTTATTGCTGAGTAGTATTCCATTATATGACTGTACCACTGGTTTATATATTCACTAGTTGGACATTTATGTTGTTTCCAGTTTGGGGTGATTATGAATATAAGAATATTTGTATTTCTAGGGTGGTAAATAACTAGGAGTGGGACTACTTGTTGGTATGCTAAATATATGGTTACCTTTATAAGAAACTGCCAAACTGTTTTGCAGAGTGGCTATAATATTTTTCATTCTAACCAGCAGTGTTTCAGAATTCCAATTGTTCCATGTCCTTGATATTTGTCAGTTGGTGGTGGTTTTTAAATTTTAGCTGTTCTAATAGGTGTGTAGTGTTATCTAATTGTGGTTTTAATTTCTGTTTGCAGAATGACTAATGATACTTAGTTTGTAGTTTGGCTGTAGTTTTGGCTTTTTTCTTTTCTACTGAGTCGTTTGTTTTCTTATTGGGTTTTTTTTTTTGTTTTTTTTTTTTGAGATACAGTCTTTGTTGCCCAGGCTAGAGTGAGTGCCGTGGCATCAGCCTAGCTCACAGCAACCTCAAACTCCTGGGGAGCTCAAGCAATCCTGCTGCCTCAGTCTCCCGAGTAGCTGGGACTACAGGCATGCGCCACCATGCCTGGCTAATTTTTTCTATATATATTAGTTGGCCAATTAATTTCTTTCTATTTATAGTAGAGACGGGGTCTCGCTCTTGCTCAGGCTGGTTTTGAACTCCTGACCTCGAGCAATCTGCCCGCCTCAGCCTCTACTCAGCCTCCCAGAGTGCTAGGATTACAGGCATGAGCCACCGTGCCCGACCTTCTTATTGTTGAGTTTGTGTATATTTTCTCCCATTCTGAAGCTTCTCTTTTTATTCTTTTGGTGGTGTCTTTCAGGGAGCAAAAGATGACTTCGGTGGCATCCAGTTTATCAGTTTCTTCTTTTATGGGTCATGCTTATCCTAAGAGCACTTCACCTAACCTGTGGTCACAACTATTTCTCCTATATTTTCTACTAATAGTTTTGTACTTTTATATATAAATATATGATCCATTTTGAGTTAATTTTTGTGTGAGGTGTAAGGTATAGGTTGAGGTTGATTTTTAGCATTATGGGTGTTATATTAAAATTATACTCATGGGATTATAACTTATGGAGATAACATAGAGAGATCAATGCCACTGAAAGAAGAATTTATTATTTACATTTCCTGAGAGAAATGAACACGTCAATCCTTGCATAGCCACAAGGGAAATACCAAGTTTGGCAAGCATAAGCACGAATGAGAGGAAAGCTGAGTAGAGTTTTTATTGGGGTTTTCTCAGAAAAGGCAAGTCAGGCAAGGTAAACAGTTTAGGATTGGCTAGTTGAATAATTCCAGTGGGCTTTCAGGTATAGGGATGGTCTCTAGTTGCCTGGTACCTGGCTCTGGGATAATTTAGGGTAGAGAAAATTATTGGCTTGGTATGTAAAAGTTAGATAAGAAGATGGTTGGGGCTGTAGACTTGAGACTTGTTGGTTTGCATAGGAAAGATGTGATCTTAACTGAGCCCTTGGCTGTCTCTAAGAATTGGCTAGCCCAGGGAGGAGCAGTCTCTCCCTGGAGAGCATGCTTGTTAAGATATCAAAATATACTGTAAAATAGAGAAAATTAAAAACATGATTAATACAGATGGCCACTTGTTTCGATACCATTTATTGAAAACACGATGTCATTTTCATTAAATTGCCTTTGCATCTTTGTCAAAAATAAGTTGACCATATTTGTCTGTGTCTATTTCTGTATTGTCTATTTTGTTCCATTAATATGCTTATTTATCCTTTTGCCATAACCTCATTTCTTACTCTTGCTTTATAGGACTAGTCTTAAAATCAAGGGAAGTAGTGTGGGTCTTCCAACTTGATTGTTTTTCAGAATTGTTTTGAGTATTTAATATCCTTTGACTTTCCATAAAAATGTTAGAATCAGCTTGTTTATAAGCACAAAAAACTTGCTAACATTTTTGTTGGAATTGTATTAAATCTTAGATTGGGGAGAATTGACTTAACTAAAGTTGTCCAATCCATGAACATAGTATGTCTCTTCAGTGATTTAGGTCTTTGATTTTTTAAAAAATCAGCATTTTATAGTTTTCAACGTGTAAGTCTGTCAATTTATGTGTGTATATGTATGTATAGATCTTATTTAATTTCAAATTCCTATTGCTCATTGTCAATATTTAGAAATACAGTTGATTTTTGTATGTTGATCTTGTCTCTTGCAACTTTACCAAACTCACTTATTTGTTCTAGGAGTTTTTTGTAGATTCCTTGGGGTTTTCTACATAGCAAATTATGCTACCTATAATTAGGGACAGTTTTATGTCTTCCTTTCCAATCTGTATTCACTTTATTTTTTTTTTCTTATTGCACTCTCTATGACTTCCAGCACATTGTTAAATAGGAGTAATGAGAGAAGACATCCTTGCCTTATTCTCCATCTTAGGTATAAAGCATTTAGTCTTTCACCATTAAGTATAATCATAGCTGTAGGTTCTTTGAAGATGCCCTGTATCTGGTTAAGGAATTTCCCTTTTTTCTAGTTTGCTGAGAGTTTTATCATGAATAAATGTTGGATTTTTATCAAATGTTTTTCTGCATTATTTGATGTGATCATGTAGTTTGTCTAATTTAGACTGTTAATATGGTAGGTTACATCGATATTTGAGTGTTGATCTAGCCTTGCATTCCTGGAATAAGCCCTTCTTGATCATGATGAATTGTTTCTTTTGTATATTGCTAGATTTACTTTGCTGATATTTTGTTGAGTATTTTTTCTTTTTCTTCTCTATTAGGGAAACATTGATATGTCTTCTTTCTTTCTTTTCTTCCCTTTCTTTTCTTCCTTTCCTTCACTCCTCTCTCTTCTCCTCCCCTTCTCTTTCATTTTTAAAGTATCAGGGTAATCTGGCCTTATATTTAATAAAATGAGTTGGGAAGTGTTCCCTCCTTTTCTGTTTTCTGGAAGAGATTGTGTCAGATTTGTGTCATTTCTTTTTTAAATGTTTGGTAGAATTCCCTTGGTGAAAGTGTCTGGGCTTGGGGGTTTCTTATTTGTTTGTTTTTTACTATGTATTCAATTTCTTTTGATATAGGCCTATTCAAGTTAATTATTTCTTCTTAGGTGCATTTCAGTAGTTTCTGGCTTTCATGGAAATGGTCCTTTTTATCTAAGTTGTTGAATTTGTGTGCATAGGGTGTTTTATAGTATTCTCTTATCCTTTTAATGTCTCAGTGGGCTGTAGTGATATCCTATCTTTCATTCCTGTAGTGGTAAGCATCATCTTTCTCTTTCTCTCTCTTTGGTCAGTCTGGCAAGAGATTTATAAATTTTATTGATGTTTTCAAAAAAATAGCTTTTGGTTTGGTTGATTTTTTTTAATCTATTTTTTTTCAATTTTATTGATTTCTGCATTTTTTTAGTTTCTTAAAGGCAAAAGCTTACATGTTCATTGAGACCTTTCTGCTTCTCTAATACAAATATTTAAAACTCCCTCTCTAAATAATACATACAACTATTATGTACTCATAATAATTAAAAATAATTTAAAAAAAAGACTCAAGGCTGAAAAATAAAAACGAAACAAAACAAAATTTCCATTCTCTAAGCACTGCTTATCTATATCCCACAGATCTTAAAATATTGTATTTTCATTTTTGTTCAGTTCGAAGTATTTTCTGATTTCCCTTGTGACCTCCTCTTTGACCTGTGGATAATATAGAAGTTTGTTGTTTAATTTCCAAGTATTTGAGGGTTTTCTGGACACCTTTCTGATATTTCTAGTTTAATTGATTTCTAGCTTAATATCATTATGGTGGGAGAAATATTTTGTATGATCTCAAATCTCTTAAAATTTGTTAGGGTTTGTTTTATGACCCAGAATATGAGTCATAAACAAGCAGAAATAAATAAAAAGCAGAAATCAATAAAATTAAAAACAAAAAACAGAGAAAAATTAATGAAACTAAAAACTGTTTCTTTGAAAAGTTCAGTGATGAATGTTCCATGTGTGCACTTGAAAAGAATATGTGTTCTGTTGTTGGATGGAGTCTTTTGTAAATGTGAATTAGTTCCTATTAGTTTAAGATGTAATTTATTTCTTCTATATTCTTGATGATTTAGTTTTTACTACTACTAGCAATTACTGAGAAAGAAGTTTTGAAGTTCCAACATATTGTGTATTTTTAGTTCTATCAGACTTTGTTTTATGTATTTTGAAGGTCTGCAATTTGCTTACATATTAACAATTATTTTATGATCCTTTGTGAATTGATCCTTTTATCCTTATGAAATACCTCTTTATCTCAGTAAAT